GTACACACTCTCAAGCCCAGCTGGGCAAGTTCGTTATTAAGCAGCTGTAAAATATCATCATTGTGGCGGTTTCAACGTTACGTTTCAACAATATCGCCTTTCATACGAATATGTGTGTTTGCATACCGCAGTTTGTCAGTAGATCAAAACTTCTGCAAGACCGGATTTCACTGTGCCTAATCCTCCCTTCCTCGGTTGCTCTTAAATCCCCTTAGACAACTAGGAACAAGTGAACAGTTTGGTTTTGAATGAGCTGGGCGTATGACTCGACAGAAATTGTTACTTTTTAACAATTACTTCATCATCACATTTTTGTCCATCAATCACTTAACTGTGGTAGTATTTTGTTGCCAGTCATCAAACGCATCTGTTGAAATAAGAAATATCGTTATAAGTTTTGAATGATGCCACAGACAGACATAAACTCAATTACGATAAGTTACTTTTTGCTCTATTTTGCGATTTGTCCTGGTTAACAGCAACTCAATAGTCTTAAAGCCTCTACAAACCGTCCGGTACAACAGATCGGTCAGTTTTTGCTCCTCTGAACCATTATCTTCGGCAAATTCGGATTAAATCGGACTACTTTGGTACTCTGTCCGATTCTGAAGGAAACAAAACCTATTTACGAGAAATCCGCCTGTAACTTGCATCGATCCGGTAAGTGATCGTGTATATACAGTATAGAGTTGCTATAAAGAAGAACCAAGAACGACGATTGAATTGCGTACAGCAACATGTACTTCGACGCATAATGAGTACTAAATGAGTAAGTTTCGCTCTTGAACAGAATCATAATATATGCACGTTTCAATAATTGGCAGTCATGGAAAAAATACCTGCACCTTTTCCAAGTGCAGTTAAATTCAGTCGATGTATTGATTAGGAAAAAAGGATTACTCCTGTTCGACAAACTATGAGTTTCTCACTTGGGAACCGAAAAATAAACAGACGTCGACCAGGAGGTCAGTATGCAACATGGAAGTTGACCTGTTTTCAGAGAGGAATTTCTTCTGCTACGATGCCGTAGCGAGAGCCATATACCAGCAGTGGTGAAAAGCCCAGAATGCAACAAACATCACAAACCACATACCATCTGCTAGCTCAAATGGCTCATGGTGATAATTACAACAAACAAACAAACAAACAACGTCGAGAACGACCCAGAAGCAGTATTACGGTATCGTCTATGGCAAAAACAGTTTCATATCAGCGTTCTTGATTAAAGTAAGCCAGCTGCCACTAAAATACTATCACAATTCCCTTATCTGCATGGAACCATGGTATGCTTGAAAGGCCCTCAGTCCATAGGTGCAACGAGCCGGACGCTGATGCAGTGTAAATCATCAGAAGTGTGATGCGTAGCAAATTAAATTAATCTGACCCAATTATTACTAAATCTTCAAATATTCGAATACTGATTTCTAAACGCTAAATGTCCGCATGCGAGATGCTTGCGTTTTACGACTCGGACTGCCGAAGATGATCCTCTTGACTTGAGCCGATTTCCGCACCCATGCATTCGACTTCAATCGCCGATTAGCCGCTAAGCGAATCGAACCGAACTGTGGAAGACACGAATATCGAACGATGAAAGAGTACTTGTCATCACAATCAGCCGTCTAAAAAGTTACGACGTTGAAAGGAAAATATTAGGTCGCCGGAAAGCAGGTTAATGGCCAGTGACGCAAGCCAACGGTTATCAGACGCGTTTGACTAAAATCAGCCATGACACGGACGGTCGGTGTTTTGTGCAGATCAGCAGAAGGAGGTCAGTGATCGATGGAATTCGAGGTGACAGGCCGTTCGGCTGCCCGGCAGCGTTAATAGTTGAAATGCACGCGCGAAAAGACCCTGGCAGCACACCGACCGACGAACGTCATCGTCGTCGTCCAACACGCAGGTAATATGGACCGACGGATTTAAATACAAAGTGTATTCATCCGGAAATTGTCGTCTTTCACATCCTCTGAGAAATTAAAGCCGAAACGCCGTAGGCAACGACCCACATTCTACCAGGTGGGCGGCTATCAGATCAACTCGGTCCTTGATTGACGCTTTCCTCATATTTAGTTTGTAGCTCCGCAAATTTGGTATAATGCTTAATGTTCTTAGCGCTTTACGTCAATATTAACAGAAGCCTCAATTTGCCTCATATCATCTTATAC